ATTGCAATCATCACAGTAAGTATAGCTTGCAATCATCACAACCAGTCTAGCGTGAGCTTTTGGTGTGTGTGTGTGTGTGTGTGTGTGTGTGTGTGTGTGTGTGTGTGTGGTGTATATATATATATATATATATATATATATATTGGTGCTTTGTGAAGATATTGAGAAAGAACTGAAGGTGACGGCTTACTTGCTCTTTTTTTAATATTTTCATTGTTTGATTGCTTGTCAGCGGGTATCGTGCGATTCATATGAATATTTTTATATAAATTATATGCACATAATTTTTCATATACCGATTCTTAAGGTGTATTCGTACAAATTTTTCATTCGAATTACACTCAAAAGATATCTTAACAATCTGTAACTTTTTTTTTTTTTTACAGAGTGCTCCTTATATTGAGAAAGAACTGAAGGTGATGGCTTGCTTGCTCTCTGTTTTTTTTTAATATCTTCATTATTTGATTGCTTCTCAGCGGGTATCGTGCGATTCATATGAATATTTTCATATAGATCATATGCACATAATTTTTCATATACCAATTCTTAAAGTGTATTCGTACAAATTTTTCATTCGAATTACACTAAAAGATGTATCTTAACAATCTATAACATTTTTTTTTTTTTTTTTTTTTTTTTTTTTACTATTTGCTTTTTTTTTTTTTCTGAACAAAAAAATATATATATATATATATATATATATATATATATAACTCTTATCCCATTTGTTTGATTGTTCCCGTAGGAATACTGCACACCAATATATTTAATTGGGCAATTATCTAAATTCTTTGTTTGTATTTACTTTTAACTTATATATAATTGGGCAATTATCTAAATTCTTTGTTTGTATTTACTTTTAACTTATATAGATTTATGTATAAAGAAAATCCAAGTCAAAGTAACAAATGCAAAGATTTTTTTTACCGTGAATTTACAATTGTAACAAATAATTTAGAAAACTTTTAATCTTTGATTTTTAAAATCACATTTAACTTATATAGATCTCTAAAAAGAAATTTAAGTATTAGTGATAATCATTGGATTGTGATAAGAATGAGAAACTACACACTATGAGTGTATTAGAAATTTATTAAGAATATTACAAATAAGAAATCTCACGTCATAAGGTGTACATATCTTCGTAGAGAGAGTCAAGGAGTAAATCACAATTCCATACTCTAAAGTGTATATAGGACTTGATTTAAATGCACTGTATATATTTAATAACACAGAAAACTAAAACTGTTAGTGCGGAAGAAGATAAAAATATCAAAACATGTATTTACCTTCTTATTTCACAATATCGCACTGCACTTTTGAGGATGTATTTTCTTTTTTTTCCTCACGTCACTGTTACTTGCACACACACATACTTTTTGTTTTTCTCTCACTTTTCTTCCACACACCTGCACACACAATTTTTTTTACTGCACACACCAACGCCAACACCTATGTCTCCAGAAAAAGGTTTTCTTCTTTTTTTTTTCTTGCTTCTTTCTTTATTTAAGAGAATTCTGTAATTTATATGAGAGAATTCCGTAACAGTTACTTTCCCCTCTTTTGGCCATTACTCTTGTTTTGAAACGTGCGTATTTGATGCACCCTTTTGCCATCACTCCACGTTCTAAAATGTGTATGTATAATGCCTTTTTTTTTTTTTTTTTTTTTTTTTTTTTTTTTTTTTTTTTTGGACATTTGGGCCAACACAAAATTTTATTTTCTCCTCTCTCCTTTTAAGGCCTATTTATGATTCATTATCTAATGTATATTTTTTTAACCGTAACAGATGCCCCCTCAAGTGTGTGCGTGTCATTGATGAACATGCGCGATGCTTGAGTTCTTTTTTTTTTTTTCTCTTTTTTTGTTATTGTTTAGTTGCCGATGGATGTTTATGGGGAGATTTGTTCAGAGAGGGCGCCATACAATCATGATGGAGAGGTTAATTTTGGTCCAAGATATTGCCGTTCAGTATCATTAAATGAAATTATTGTCCCAACAGATTCGAAACACCGGGTTATTTTGACCACCACTTGTAAGGTACCTTGTGGAGATTTGAGATATAAATTCTCAAGTGAGACCAAAGCTGTTCAACATCTTTAACAACATGGTCCTATCTTTAATGAAAAATTTCTTGGGAAAGTTAACAATGATGATGATGGGGACTGCAGATTTGTGGCGACAAATGAATTCTACCCAAGCCTTTTCTACAATTTGAAAGACAAGAAAATGTTAGGAAAATTCAATATCCGTGGTCGAGCTATCTTTCAACTTTCTCTAATGGAATGGACTGAGCACATTTTAATACATAATTGATTGGTGCATGAAAATGCACCCTAAATACTGCTTTTGATTTATATAATATTAAAATATTTAAGCGTCAATTAAACAATTCTATCATTTTTATTCATAATATTTTTAATTGGAATTTGTCTAGCTTTTACTTAATTATTTACAGATAAAAAGCAGTGTAAAAAGCTACACAAAAATAAGCCATGAAAGTCATGTTTTCAAGTTTCAACCAGCCGAGCCATGCCTTTTAGCCGAGCCGATCAGAGAGAGAGAGCCGAGTAGCTTAGCCGAGCCAACATCAGCTCGTGGGCCCTACCACTCAGTGCAGGAATCCGCGCCCGTTTCTTCCTGCCATCTCACGCCTCGCGCGTCACCAGCACGCCGCACCTCACAGGGCGCGTTCCTTCCATGCAGCCATTAGCGCGCGTCCAAGCTTCAATCCGCGTGGGTCCCGCACGACAGCAGCAGACCTGCTGCCTTCTCCGCGTGCGCCACCTGTCCAACGCGGGTCCTCCACTCTGACCGCGCCAACACACGCCAACCAATCCGCGTGCAACACGTGGCACGTTTCTCTCATCAATGCCAATCTCGTTTCGACACATGTCCACTGAGTGTTGAGTCCGAATTTCTCCTTCAAAAATTAGAGCAAATTACCATATTTCTTCCCAAATCAAATATATGATTCCTTCAAATTTATGTGTAATTTTATTTTGTTTCACTTTCTTTTGTAATTTTCTATTTTTATTGTTTGTTTCCTTATTTGACAGGCAACCACTGAACACTATAAATAGAGGGGTTAGCCTAAGGTTTTTGGAAGCTTTCAATATTTAGTTTTCTGTCGTCTTGCTGTCAATCTCATATTTTCTTTCTAGAACATGTGAGAATGTTTTGCAAGCTAGGCTAGAGTTTTCTTGGTGAGGTTAGAGATGAACTTCTGTTGAGCGACCCAATTCGGGGTTTTGATTCCTTGTGCTGTAAAGTTCAACATCTGAATGAATTAAATCTCATCTATTTTTCTATTACTTTTCAAAATATTGTGTGCCAATTTTTATATAAGTTCAGTCACGCTTTTCTTATGTAATTATGTCACGCATTGTTTTGTCATTCTAATTATTTTACAAATTGTCTTTTACTGCAATATTGTCAAATTGATATATTGTCGATTTTGGATAACTTGTAATAATAATATTTTCTGAGCCAACATAGAGATTTAATTTATTCGATTGTTTTATTTTGTGAATCAAAACTTGAATTGGTGAACGAAGCATTAGAGATTCTCGACACCTTACTGTTTTCTTCATACAAATTTTCTCCTTTTTATTTTATTTGTAACAAAAATCCCCAAAACTCTCATTTTTCTTTAATTCACTTTTCTCTAACACTCTTATTCTGTTAGTCATTCTTGTTATTTTGTTATCTTTCTGTGGATACGACCGCCCTTCTGTGCTACAATTGACCGCTTGTGAACATCACTTTTGGGCGTTAATCAAATTTTGGCACCGTTGCCGGGAAGGTGCTACTAGCAAGACTGATCAGTAGATTTTTGAGCGAAAGAGGTAAGTGCATTTTCTTTCTGTTTTTATTTTACTCAATTTTTATTTCTTGATTTGCGTGATCTGTTTTTAGCCACTATTAAAAAAAAACCTTTGTTTGCTGTTCGTTCTTTTCTGTTACGTTACATTATACATTTTTTATTATTTATTTTTATTTATTTTCTTTTCTTCCTCTCTTTCTCGTTTCTTATTGAAGAAAAAAAAGTTTTTTTTTTTTGAGTCACTGATCATTGCCGTTCTCCTTTCTCTCTTTGTTTCCGTATATATATATTAAAAAAAATCTCTTTTCATTCCAATTCTTTTTATTTAGTTTCCTTAGTTGTGAAAGAAAATTTAGGACTTGCTTTAGTGTTTATTTTATTTTATTTTATTTTTTTAGTTTTAAAATTGATTGTGATTTGATTTTGTAATGTTTTATTTTTGGTAAATTAAGATTTTATTTTGTTTCCTCATTTGTATATTTTAATTGTTGCCTAATTTAATTTTTCCTTTTATAGTTTCATTAATTCTTAGGATTATAACTAGGATTGTAATTAATTGACTATTCTTAATCTAGGATAATCATAATTTGGTAGATTTAGGCTTTTGACTTTAGGAATAGTTTCCATTAATTAGATTACATTTCATAATTTACTTAATAAAATTTAATAATTGATTTTGAGAATAATTGTATGGTTACGTGGAAAGTACAATCTGAGGGAGTTCTGTCTAGGAAAGTTGGTACTTAAGTGGGCCTCGCCCCACCAATCTTTTCTGGGAACGTTGCTCTGTCTAGGAGACTATTCATTGAGCCAAGAGCTATAGTCTTTCCTGGGAGCACTCTCGGTGGTTACAATTTACGTTACTATATAATTATTTTCTTTTTGATTAAAAATTAAAAAAAACAAAAAAAATTAAAAAAATAAAAAAAATAAAAAAAATCACTTAGGGTGAATGCATCGATATAGAGACGAACTATGGAGATTTGCTCAACATCCAGATTTAGAAACCCCTATTGAAATTCTATCCGACTCGTCTTCTACGTCTCCGTCTTCGTACTCGTCGTTGGAATTCGCATTTCAAAATCTATTCGCAATGGCACAACACGAGGAAGTTTAACAGAGGACGTTGCGAGATTACTTGCACCCAACGCGAACGGCCACCCCATCTTGCATCATGTTCCCACCAAATGCACCGCCTACGGATTTCAAGCCGGGCATGATTGCACTTCTCCCAACCTTTCACGGATTAGAGAATGAGAATCCATATGTACACATTCAGGAGTTTGAGGAGGTGGTGGCCACCTTTTACAGCCGTACTGAGGCCGCAAACATTGTTAGATTGAAGTTTTTCCCTTTCTCTCTGAAGGACAAGGCCAAAAGCTGGCTATATTCTCTTAGGCCCAAGTTTATTGGTACGTGGGAAGAAATGACGATGACATTCTTCAACAAGTATTTCCCACACCATAAGACTAACAATTTGAAACGACAGATCTCAAATTTCGCTCAGAAGGAAAATGAAACTCTCTATCAAGCTTGGGAGCGTTTTAACGATCTGTTAAATCTGTGTCTCCACCATGAATATGAAAGTTGGCGCCCTGTAAGCTATTTCTACGAAGGACTCACAATCCGAGAGCGCCAATTTGTTGAGATGATGTGCAATGGAGATTTTCTCCAGAAGGATCCTAACGAAGCTATCGAGTACCTGAATGAGTTAGCTGAGAAAGCTCATACTTGGACTGGACTGAGTGCTACTGAGAGCACTAGTAGGTCCCGACCAGCTAGAGTTTATCAATTGATGGAAGAGGATAGCCTCAAGGCCCAAGTTGAAGCTTTGACAAAGCAAATTGAGACCCTTAAAAGTAAAGATAGTAAAGGCCCCAACATGGTGGCAAGGACAGAGGCACATGAGCCTTGTTCAGTTTGTGGTGGAATGGGCCATCTAGCTCAGGATTGCCACACTTTAAGTGAAATGAGAGGGGTATACGAGGAGCAGTGCAATGCTTTGGGCGTATACGGAAAACCATATACACCTTTCTCGGAGACTTATAATCCTGGTTGGAAAAACCACCCGAATTTCAGTTGGCGAGATTCGAATCAACATGCACAATCATCTGGAAGGCAATGGAGATCAGAGCAACAATCTCAACCACCAAGGACATATTTTGCACCTCAGAATAACATGCAGCCGAAAGGGAATTCTCTAGAGGATACCCTAAAAGCTTTTATGGACACGCAAAATAAGACGAATCAAAGAGTTGATTCAACGCTCACGCAGCTGGTGGAGGAGAACAAGGAAATAAAAAGTCAGATCACAAAGCTGACAGAAGCTTTAACCGTTCAAGAGCGCGGTAGATTTCCATCACAAGCCCAGTCCAATTTGAGAGGACAACACATGGCTCAAACTTCCAACTTTGAAGGTCAAAATATCAAGGAAGTTAATGCCATCTCTATTCGAAGTGGTATGAATTTTGACACGCCATCGACAAGTACAACCACTTCGAGTAATGAAGAATCGGCTTAGGAGAAAGAAGAGCCAACAAAAATTCTAGTAAATGTGCCCTTCTCCCAAGCTCTCTGACCTGCTGGGAAAGTGCCAGAAAATCAAAGTGAGATCCTAGAGCACTTGACACAATTGAAGATCAATCTTCCGTTACTACATGTGATCAAGCAAGTGCCGGCCTACGCTAAGGTTATCAAGGATCTGTGGACCATAAAGAGAAAGCACCACGTCAAGAAGACTACATTCTTGACGGAACAAGTGAGCGCGGTGATTGAGCAGAAGACACCGCCGAAGTATAAGGATCCAGGTTGTCTTACCATTTCTTGCCAGATTAGGACACATGAATTCGGCCAAGCGTTACTAGACCTAGGATCGAGCGTGAACCTCATGCCTTATTCAGTCTACTCGTAATTGGGTCTTGGAGAGATTAAGCCCACATCTGTGGTTCTGCAACTGGCCGATAGATCCATTAAGAGACCACGGGGAATAGTAGAAGACGGTCTGTTACAAATCGACAGGTTTTATTACCCCGTGGATTTTCTTGTCTTGGATACACAATCCGTGGTGAATATGGCGTCATCCATTCCCATCATTCTAGGAAGACCTTTCCTTGCCACAGTAAACGCACTTATCAATTGTAGAAATGGTCTCATAAAGATATCTTTCGAGAATATGGCCCTTGAGGTGAATATTTTTCATATTCAAAAGCAACCACGTGATGATGATGAGTGTCACCAAACATTTATGATCGACACACTTGTCGAGGAGGGGGTTCTGCCGCAAAGCAACTCTGAAGATCTGGAAAACCTCCTCAAAAATTCTGAATCTGAGAGTTCCGATCCTTGTGAGGTGTCTAATAGTTTTGCCATTTTCAAAGAATCATAGGACAGAGGAACCAAGTTTGGGTCACTATGTTTTCTGGAGCTCCCAACAGAAGGAGAAAAACCGAAATCATCCACCGAGGAGGCTCCAAAAGTCAAGCTAGCCCAACCACCTGAGGGCTTAAAACATGCATTCTTGGGAGATATAGACATATTCCCAGTCATCATCTCATCTAAACTCGATCCATTGCAAGAACAACGATTGATCGACATGCTGAAAGAGCGCAATTCTAGGATCAAGGTAAAAATGAAAGTGGCTCATGACAAGCAGATCCTAAGGAAGAATTACTTAGAGCGGGTGAACCAGGTGGAAGAGATCATTCTCGACGACCCCGTTTACTAGCCCTGAGTAGTTTGCTCACATCTTTTGTATCATATTTTGATTTTCTGTTTTTCTTTGCTTTTTTTTTTTTACATTTTTTTTTATGTGTGTTTTTGGAGAATCATATCAGGAAGCTCATGCTGTGCTCATAAGTGGAAAGCTCATCATCCAGGTGTCTTCTTTCTCTATATTTCTATAATGTTTGACACTTTGGACACTGTCTGATTTTGGTTGGGGGTGGTGAGCATATTCATGCGGAAGAGTGATTTTTGTCATGTTGATGTTTGGGTTAAAATTTTTGTGAAGTTATCTTAGTATGATTTCAAAATGATTGGTTTGAGTCGATTTTTGCTGTCTTGGTTACTAAGAAATAACTTCCAGAGTTTCTTTTTGCACGTGCTGAACCTTGTGGTAAGATGGATGTTAATGCATGTCAGTTGAGAAAATTCCTGAGTTTAAGTGCTTAATTTTTGGTGAGTTAAGAGAGTTGAGAAAATGAATTTTGAACCTTCATTGATCTTTTAAGCTGGTAAAATCACTATTAGAACATCATTACATGGTTAGTGGTATGCTTGGTGCATATGCTTGAGGGATGAATTTTGGGTTAGATAGGAATGATCTTATGTAATAGTGCCTCATTTCTTATTTTTCCAAAAAAAAAGAAAAAGAAAAAAAAAAGAGCAAGAGCAACATTTCACAGATCATGTAGTTTGGTCGTAATCACATTTGATGCTATATAGCTGTTTGTCAAAAGAACACCTTTCTACATTCACCTCATTATTGCAGGTTGTCTCTTGCCAAAAAATAAAAAATAAAAAAAAAAGAAGAAGAAGAAGAAGAAAAAAAAAGGAGTAGTTTATTTTTCTATGCATTTTTTTGGCTCTTTCTTCATTTTTGTAAATTTCTGTTTGACCCAAATGAAATTCCAAAAGCTGGTTTGTGGTAAGAATGGTGGAATGTTCTAGTAGTTGATTAACCTATCTTTTGGTCAATGTTCGTTTGACTGTTTGTCCTAAATTTGACATTCTTCACACTGAGCGTTGATTGTTTCATTTCCAACTCCATGAGAGAAAACCTTTACACTTAAATATTTCTAACACCTGTGAGATCAATGGAGTTGAGAATTCTGCTTGTTGAATTTTTCAAAGCTGCATGTGTTATGGTTAGTGGTAAGAAGGTTATGGTTTGGAGCACACACACACGACTCTGGAGTTATGACTGAAATAATCTTGATAGTATCTTTTGACTTCTTACTGACAGTTTGTTTGAAATACCAAGGTGACTAAGCTAGTTGAGACTCAGATTTTCTTTGTGACATGATTTCTCTTGCGCTTGGATTGCTAGAGACTAGCAATAAGCTGGTTGGGGGTTGTGATTAGTGCATGAAAATGCACCCTAAAACTGCTTTTGATTTATATAATATTAAAATATTTAAGCTTTAATTAAACAATTCCATCATTTTTATTCATAAGATTTTTAATTAGAATTTTTCTAGTTTCTGCTTAATTATTTACAGATAAAAAGCAGTGTAAAAGGCTACACAAAAATAAGCCATGAAAGCCATGTTTTCAAGTTTCAACCAGCCGAGCCATGCCTTTTAGCCGAGCCGATCAGAGAGAGAGAGAGCCGAGCAGCTTAGCCGAGCCAACATCAGCTCGTGGGCCCCACCACTCAGCGTAGGAATCCGCGCCCTTTTCTTCCTGCCATCTCACGCCTCGCGCGTCACCAGCACCTCACAGGGCGCGTTCCTTCCACGTAGCCATTAGCGCGCGTCCAAGCTTCAATCCGCGTGGGTCCCGCACGACAGCAGCAGACCTGCTACCTTCTCCGCGTGCGCCACCTGTCCAACGCGGGTCCTCCACTCTGATCGCGCCAACACACGCCAACCAATCTGCGTACGACACGTGGCACGTGTCTCTCATCAATGCCAATCTCGTTTCGACACGTGTCCACTGAGTGTTGAGTTCGAATTTCTCCTTCAAAAATCAGAGCAAATTACCAAATTTCTTCCCAAATCAAATATATGATTCCTTCAAATTTATGTGTAATTTTATTTTGTTTCCCTTTCTTTTGTAATTTTCTATTTTTATTGTTTGTTTCCTTATTTGACAGGCAACCTCTGAAGACTATAAATAGAGGGGTCAGCCTAAGGTTTTTGGAAGCTTTCAATATTCAGTTTTCTGTCGTCTTGCTGTCAGTCTCATATTTTCTCTCTAGAACTTGTGAGAATGTTTTGCAAGCTAGGCTAGAGTTTTCTTGGTGAGGTTAGAGATGAACTTCTGTTGAGCGACCCAATTCAGGGTTTTGATTCCTTGTGCTGTAAAGTTCAACATCTGAATGAATTAAATCTCATCTATTTTTCTATTACTTTTCAAAATATTGTGTGCCAATTTTTATATAAGTTCAGTCACGCTTTTCTTATGTAATTATGCCACGCATTGTTTTGTCATTCTAATTATTTTACAAATTGTCTTTTACTGCAATATTGTCAAATTGATATATTGTCGATTTTGGATAACTTGTAATAATAATATTTTCTGAGCCAATATAGAGATTAAATTTATTCGATTGTTTTATTTTGTGAATCAAAACTTGAATTGGTGAACGAAGCATTAGAGATTCTCGACACCTTACCGTTTTCTTCATACAAATTTTCTCCTTTTTATTTTATTTGCAACAAAAATCTCCAAAACTCTCATTTTTCTTTAATTCACTTTTCTCTAACACTCTTATTCTGTTAGTCATTCTTGTTATTTTGTTATCTTTCTGTGGATACGACCGCCCTTCTGTGCTACAATTGACCGCTTGTGAACATCACTTTTGGGCGTTAATCAATAACCGTACTATTTTACGTAGTGCAAACATTTATGGAGCGGTTGATGTTTTTAGATTCCCCTATGCACTTAATGCTGACATATGGAGAGCCTTTGTTGAGCTATGGGGGCCGTAAGCTAATACCTTCCATCACAGTGGTGGTGAAATGGGAATCTCTTTATATGATTTGAAAACAATTAGAGGTTTAACCATTCTTGAAATTCCTTATGAAGAATTTATTCTACCTAATGCTTGATTACTAAATCCTTCATTGTCTTCCCCTACTGTTGCTGAGCTTTTGAGAACCTATTCCAAAATCTGTAAATTTTTAAATTCACAAAGGTATCTTGGGGAGAATGGATTGAGTATTTTTATCATGGGGATACACTTCTTCATGGGTTTCTTGAGTGGACCTTTAACTAAACCCAGGCAAACACCTTATAAAGAGAAAAGTTTTTTGAAAGAAAGACCTTCTCTCAAAACCTTGCGTTTGGATGTTTCAGAAGAGTGCATGCTTGCAGCTTTCATATCTCTTTGGTTGAGCCGATTTGTTTTCCCTTATTAGAATAGTTACATTAGGCTTGAGACTTTCTGCATGGCCACTTTGATGGTACAAGAAAAGAAAGTGTCGCTTGCACCTTCTGTTTTGGGTTATATCTACCATGCATTGAGTACTTTTGTAACAGATCCACGAGGAATTGGTGTTCCTGAAATCCACATGCCTATGCATTATGTGATAGGATGGCTAGCTGAATACTTTCCCTGCCTTTATTCAAGTTGGGATGTTATTGATGATTCCCCTCGAATGCATAGGGTAGCCGGACTTCCAGCTGATAAGCAAAGTTTAAATGTAGCTAGAAGCACTTTTAGGGGTGAGGACTACGTGCTCCGTCATCCGTTTTCTTTCCTTGAGAGAAGACACTCCCTACTTAGATGATAATGGTTTATCTGACGACATATTTGAGCTTCTTGTTTCTTTATGGTCCTCCATATTACCTGTAAGAGTAGGAAACGATTTATACCTCGAAGCATATTCCCCTAATAGATCTCTAAGAAGAAATTCAAGTATTGGTGATAATCATAGGATTGTGATAAGAATGAGAAACCACACACCATGAATATATTAAGAATTTATTAAGAGTATTACAAATAAAAAATCTCACGCCATAAGGTGTACATAAAATTTATCTTTGTAGAGAGAGTCAAGGAGTAAATCACAATCCTACACTTTAAGTGTATATAGGACTTGATTTAAATGCACTGCATATGTTTAATAACATAGAAAACTAAAATTGTTAGTGCGGAAGAAGACAAAAATATCAAAACATGTATTTACCTTCTTGTTTCAAAATATTGCACTGCACTTCTGAGGATGTATTTTTTTCCTCACGTCACTGTCACCTGCACGCACACACTTTTTGTTTTTCTCTCACTTTTCTTCCACACACTTGCACACACAATTTTTTTTTTCTGCACACTCTTTTCCCTTACTGCACACACCAACTCAAACGCCTATGTCTCCAGAAAATGTTTTCTTCTTTTTTTTTTTTTTTTTTTTTTTTTCTCACTTCTTTCTTTATATAAGAGAATTCCGTAATTTATATAAGAGAATTTCGTAATAGTTACTTTCTCCTCTTTTGGCCATTACTCCACTTTCTAAAACGTGCATATTTGATGCAACCTTTCGCTATCACTTCACTTTCTAAAACGTGTATATTTAATGCCCTTTTTTTTTTTTTTTTTTTTTTTGAACATTTGGGCCAGCACAAAATTTTATTTCCTCATCTATTTTTTTAAGTCCCATCTATGATTCATTATCCAATGTATATTTTTTAACCGCAACAGTTACTAATCTAATTTTTTTTCATTCCAATCAAATCCGCCGGATTGAGTTGGCTTATGCTGATTAGAAAATTGGTGGATTTGGTGTACACCCCTAATTGAAAGTAAAAACTCTAATCTTAGGAATATGAGTTGATAATGATAATATTCTATAAATTAATATTAATAGAGCAAAAAACTCGACAATGTGTTTTGTCGGGTGGAAAAGAGAGAGAAAAGAAAATAGAGGAAGGATTTTGGAGAGAAAAATGAGATTTTAAGTTGTTTGGTAGAGAGAAAATAAGGAAGAAAGGAAAATGAAAATAATGGGGCCCATCAATTTTTAATCATCCTTATTTTAGGAAGAAAAGATGAGGAAAAAAAGT